AAAAAAAAAAAAAAAAAAAAAACCAAACTCACTGCTGTCAAGTCAATTCATAGCCATCCTTCTTGAGTTTCCAAGGCGGTATCACTACAGAAGTAGATTGCCCAATCTTCCTTCTGAAGAGTGGCTAGTGGTTAGCAGTCAGATGCCTTAGGCACTATGCCACCAGAGCTCCTTAAATCATATTCTATACTAACTCTTTCTTGTTAACATAACAAAGACAACCCATTTCCAAACAGGAGTTTAACCAGTGGTATGTTATTGTCAGGTGCTGTCGAGTTGGCTCTGACTCATAGTGGCCCTATGTATAACGGAATGAAACACTGCCTGGTCCAGCGCCAGCCTCACAATCCTTGCTATATTAGAGCCTGTCGTTGGAGGCACTGTGTCAATCCGCCTGGTTGAGGGCCTTCCCATTTATTGCTGACCCGCCGCTTTACCAAGCATGGTATCTTTCTCCAGGGAATGGTCTCTTCTGACAACACAACCAAAGGAGGTGAGACAAAGTCTGGCCATTCTCGCCTTCAAGGAGCATTCCGGCTCCACTTCTTTCAGGACAGATTTGTTCATTCTTCTGGCAGTCCAGGGTACTTCCAGTATTCTTCGCCAACACCACAACTCAAAACCATCAACTCTTCTTTAGTCTTTCTTATTCATTGTCTACCTTTCACATGCATATGAGGCTATTGAAAGTACCATGGTGTGGTTGTTATGTTTGTGTGTCAACTTGGCCAGGCCTGGTTGAATGGCTGGATGTGGTATTCCCTATGATGAGACAGGGAATCAGCTCCATGGTGTAATCTACTGTGAGCAGCTGAATAGCTGCGTTAAGGATGTGGTCTGCTTCCTGTATATAAGGAGAAGCCTTGGGGAACACTTGAACCCTGCACCTAGCCGAGTTGTTGTTCAGCATCCTGCCATGCTCTGCTGATCTTGGGACTTTTAATGGACTTGAATTAATGGCCTGCTATGTAGTTTGGTAATATCAGGACTGTACCTTATTACTTGGGCTTGTCAGCCTCAGCGGCCAGCAGCTGAGTGAAGAAAACCCTCCAGCTTCAGTGGGCCAGGAACAGGAGAGAGAGCAGAAGCCCAAAGTTGAGGGGCTTTCACCCAGCCCCTAGAGCCTGGCACTTTGAACTCAGACTTAAAGCCTCCAAATTGTAAGGATAAACTCCTGTTTGTTAAGGCCATCCCACTTGTGATATATTCCTGTCAGAGTGACACTAGGTAACCAACACACATGGCTTCGGTTAGGTGTACTTTAGTCTTCAAAGACATCTTTGCTCTTCAGCATTTTAAAGAGATCTTTTGCAGATTTGCCCAGTACAATACGTCTGTCTGATTTCTTGACTGCTGCTTCCCTTGGTATTGATTGTGAATCCAAGTAATATGAAATCTTTGACAACTTCAATCTTTTCTCCATTTAATGTGATGCTGCTTTTTGGTCCAGTTGTGAGGATTTTAGTTTTCTTTATGTTCAGGTGTAATCCATACTGCAGATTGTAATCTTCAGTCTTCATCAGTAAATGCTTCAAGTCATCTTCACTTTTAGCAAGCAGTATTGGTGTCATCTAGGAACTTAGGCCCCACCCCAGATCTATTGAGTGAGAATCTGCATTTTAATAAGATATCCAGATGTCATCACACATTACAATATGCACATTACAGTGTCAGATGCACTGGCCCACAGACACCACACTACTGTGCTCTCTGGAGTCTTCCCAGTGGAGCTGTGAGGAAGCTGGAATGCAGAATCCTGCTATTCCATACCATAAATCAAGGGTCTTTCTTTAGATTGGAGCAAGGAACACCCCTCTGCCTCTGCTCCTCTAAGGTATTTTGTCCACTCAAGCAAATCTCATTTTTTCTTATCACCTCTAAGAAAACTCTTAAGTCAGTAATACTCAAACTTGGCAGCCCAGACCAATTAAATTAGAGTATCTGAGGGTGGGCCCAGGTGGAGTATATTTTAAAGCTCCTCAAGTGATTACAGTAAGCAGCCAAGTTTAAGATAGATAACACTGCTCAAAGTTCTCCTGAGGGCTTAGAATTTTCTAAAACAAAATCCAAAAAGAAATGCAAGCTAACCTCACTTAAAAGGAGGAAGAGGGAAAAATTAATCATTAATTAATATTCCAAAATATTTAGGCTCAAAATCCAGGTGAAATATCCTAGCACCCATCCCACCTGCCTTGATCAAGTGTCTGGCCTTCTCCTCAACTCTCCTGTTACTGCTGCCTGCAAACCCCCATTCTATCTGCCTGATTCTCTAGGGAAGGAATTGAACTACTAAGAAGGCAGGTATTTTCTTAAACTTTATTGTATTTGCATAGCTCATAGTAAAAATGTTTTATGAAGATGCTGGGCTCAAGTTTATGCAGATATAATCTCTCCCTTTTCCTAACTCTCGCAGCACTTATTGCCTGCATTAATCACGTCTTAATAACCACTGCTCTCTTGTATGTATGTGTGTGTTTTATGCTCTTGTACTGTGATTTCACTTTCCTTGTGTCTATGTCATCTCTAAAAAGTCCATAAGCTTCTTGCAAATCAGGATTTTGTCTCCTCTCCCCAAATGTACAGTGTTTAATAAGCACTCTGGGAATACATTGATTGAGTGACATACTCAACATAACTGCCTTGATAGTTATTTTCTGAGGACTCACCATCCCACCTTAATTTATCTGAAATCCTTCTCTACTGGTCATAACTTTCTTACATCCTTCTTGATTCATTGGGCAATCTACTTCCAGGGTGATACTGCCTTGGATACCCAAGGAGGAGTTGCTATGAGTCAGATCCCACTCGACAGCAGTGAGTTTGTTTTTTTTTCTTGATACATCCCTTTAGTCATTGCTCTGCCTCAATTTGGTGTAATGAAGAAAAGGCCAAAAGCCCACTAAATTC